TATATATATATATATATATAAGTTAATGATATATTAAAAGATTATTTTTAGAGACTATTTTTACACTAATTTAATTTAATTTAATTTAATTAAAAAAAAATGCAAGTACAACGGGGTATACTATAACAAACTAATTCGTTTCTAAGTTATAAAATACGTATATATGTGTTATATAATACAGTGTTAACAGTGATCACGATAATATTCGAACATTTACCAAAGAAAAATTTCTACCTATAAAACATTTTGAAATTTTATTAAAACTGTAACGAGGTAACTGCCATGATTATATTGATAATATAGTACAGAATATGAATAATCATCTTGAGCTTATATCTCTATTATAGTTCAACTGAATGTTAAGGATTATTGATATGGCTAAAGTACTATTATATTTGTATAAAATATTTTGTAATTTTTATACATATTTTTAAATTTGTTTCAAACTTGGCTAGCATAATCATGAGAGTGATTAATGAAATATCAGAATGTCAAAATATATGTAATACATTAAAAAGTAATATTTGTTTCAATAAATGTTCGAATATTTTCGTCAGCATCTACAGATATACATACGTATATTTATTTAAGGATGTATTATATACATTACATACACATCATAAAAAAGAGACCGATCTCTGTGTTTCTTTGTGTTTATTGTAAGCAATTCTTTGCAATTTTCATTTTTTCATGCGTTTTTTAATTGTCTCTTTTTTTTTTATTCGACAAGTACAGAAAAAAACAAGAAACATTAGTCGCATTTATTGACTTACACTCTGTCATCAATCCGTCGCATTTCATTTTCTGCTCGATAAAGAAACGTTCCACGTTCATCTTCACTTCCGGTTCCATTTCAATCGTGATAATTTTTTTGAAACACTTAATATCGTTGAAAAATCTCCAAATTTATTAAAACTTCGATGGTGTAAGGGTAACTTTGATGAAAAATTAATAAAATTTTAACGGAAACGTTGTAAAGAAGATTAGTGTTATAGAAAAATATACTTTTAAAGTACTCTTAAGAGAGAAAGAGCAAGTGAATAGCACAGATATTGATGTGAACCATCGGAAATCTGGAATTGAAGTGACCAGTCAGTGGATTATATAGCTATGAGGTAATGCCTCGCCTTTCTTGGTATATTCCTTAGTATAGTTACGCTATAGTCACCTGGAGAAGAGACTCCAAGTAGAATAAGTCAACCACGAGTCAGCGAAAAAAGTCGAGTTATCTTCGTCTCCTCTGCTGAATATTCATTCACGAATTTTCTTTTAATATAATTTAATATAATTAATATGATGTTTAGTATAATTATGATTAAAAGTATGCTAAATAAAATTAAGTTAGTTTAATATGAAATTTACAAATGAAATAAGAATAAAATAATGATTATACGAGATTTTGATTTGTATGTTACTTGGTAAGTTAGGCAAAAATAAAATTAAAACAGAGAATAACTGAGTAAATTTGAAGATGCGAGCCTTTTGAAAATAGATGATAAATCTATTTCTATTCTAATATTTGATAAAAATGGAATAATATTACTTTAGTACATTTATGCCAATTATATAATTGATATTAATTATAATTATCAATATTAATCATAATTATAATAACAACGAAATGAAATCTTGAAATCGTTCTTCGTCTTCTTTACTTACAACTTTCGAACAATGATGACAAATAATTTTGCTGGAATTACAAGTGATCGATAATGATGTATCTTGTTGAAAAAATAATTGCATTTATCAAGGGACGATGGCGCAATGTCATCTGCTTGCTGGAAATTGTGTTATACAATTTCAAAGATAACTGCAATGAAACAAATCGATTAGGCTGTCACGTCCATCCATCAAAAGAATGATCGTCTAAACAATCACTCGAGATTCTCAGCCAATATTGATAAAGGAGCGATCGATCATCACATTGTGTCAGCAGACACTGAAACTTTAGAAATCAAGTAATTCAAAAAGAACATTATTTTTCCTATATCTGAGCAGAATAGAAATAGTAGAGAAATTCGACATCACAATTTTTTAATCAATTACCAAGACAACATCTTTGAGCTCATATCACAATCAAACAAAATTCATAAAAAGAATTCTACTTTTGCTATGACTGGGCAAAATAAAAATAATCAAAAATTCGATGTACGATTTTCTAATCGATCGTCAAAATAACCGTCTATTTTCAAATGAAAGATACGCAAAAATTCCTGGTCTTTAATTGTAAAATTTTTTGGAGAGACGAAATGGAGGGGGAAGAAACGAGGAAGAAACGACGACAGCCCGTGTATTCAAAATTTCGTTTTTATGTCAAACTTACACCAACCACACTTTACAACAGATTTCATTTTTCTTCGTGGATCAACTTCGGGAAATCATCCGCGTGCAATTCTTACCGTCTTTCCCATCAACTCCCAAGCTTTCCAAACATCGAAACAATTTTACAGACAACGTTCTAAACTATCTCTCACCTTTTCACAAATTCTTTACAAACCTGCTACGTCGTTTGAGAAGAAAGGAAAACGCAACAAACGTCATGCAACACGCAATACAATACGGATGATTTTGCGCGCCGGATCCAACACTCAGGTGTCGAGTCATTTAAAATTACTTCTAATTTACAGCCATCGATATCGATAAGTTGTTAGTAAGTACATACGATTCATTTTCCCTCCCATTATCGTTCTACTTAATTGTCTACTTGCTCTCTTCAGCAAACCTCCAATACGATGATCTCTCGTGTTATTTACAAATTTCTTCACGGCTATTCTCCATTGTAGTAGGCCATTTTTACATCTCTCTCGGAGGAGAGATCATTGTTTCGTTATTGTAACACACCAAGACGAACGCGTTCTCGCGTATACAATTAATTAGAAAAGATACACGAAGCGCGGATTCGACGCTCGGTTTCACGGATCCGCGGCGATTCTTCTCGTGAACCAGATGGCTCTCGATGCTCCGTTTCTCAACTTCTTCACCGGGGGACGACGAGTCACCGTTAACTCGTCATCGGGAAAAAATTGGAAATTTTTTGAAATTTCTTAACTGTGTGGGAATATCTTCTTATATTATTGCAACGAAAGTGCTTCATGAAAGTATTCGAACCACTTATTATATAGAAGAACGTTTACATGTACGTCTCTGTCCGTGTCATTATGTATTATGTAAGAATTTTTACATACATGTATTACGTGTTATACAAAATATTTTGAAATTTTATTAACGGTAGTAGACTATATTGGTCAAGTTTAAAACTAATTTGAAAATGTTTGTAGACATAAAGAATCAGTATGAACTAAAAATGGTCTCGTTCAATCTTTTTAGTATCGACGACAAAAATAAAGTATCAAATAAAGCAAAAAATGCCAGAGCAATTTGATAAAATTTAAGACAAAGAAGATAAAAAAATTAGCTTTATATTATAAAAGTTAAGAAATATAGAGAAATATAAAAAATAAATAGACAATAATTAAATAATGTACAGCATCCGACAAAAGTAAAAAGAATAAATTAGAGTAACTTAGATGCAATTATACATTATTCTCGATATTTTCACAAATGTAGTAAACGACCATATATCGTTGTTTAATATTGACATTTTTTAAATATTATTTGTCATCTCTACGAAATGTATACTTAATTAAGTATTGTACCTGTAATTTCTATACATATTTTCAGATTTGATTTAAACGTGACCGACATAATCATAAAATGTCTAATATAACACACGCATATTTTATATTCATAGACTGCTCCTATAAGTGTTCAAATACTTTCGTCAGCAACCATAATTCATTATGACATTTTCAAATACACTCTGTACTCAATCATAGAAGATATTATCAATGAAATTTTCCTGTTTTGACAAACACCACCTTCTTGTTTCCTTTTTTTATTGGATTGCAACACGAACGTTACAATTCAATGCATATCGTAGACTGTTTCCAATATTTCTTAAAAAATGAAACAAGAATAAGAGAAAATAAAAAGGAATCACAAAAGAAGGGTACGAGTCGTATTTGAATCGTCATATTCTTCAAATCTCGTGGGCTTGCCTTCTCTCGCTTTACATTAGGTTTCGATTTTTAATATTCTTGAGCTTGTACAATTTCTTTTTCTGCATATTTTGCGACAAATACATAAATTCTATATCCTACAATTCGATTAACGCGTAGATTCAAGTTTCTTTTAAATTCTAACATGCGACGTTTCTTTTTATAACTACAGATACACCGTCGTGACATCGCGAACGTGATGATATATCTCGTTATTACGAAAATTCGCTAACAAGCCAATTTTGCTGATGCAAAAATAATTATCCATTGAAAATGGCTATTTTCATTTCAATACAAGCAGGGGGAAATTATTGTGTTAAGAAATTAAATTCTAGATGATAACTCGTCATCTCCGGGGCGAAGAGATTAAAATCACTTCATTTACAAATAATTTGACAAAACTCCTTCGTGAACTCCTTCTGTTACAAACGCGAAGGTAATTATCGTACAAAGTGTCTTTTACGATCTCTTTGGCTTCGACGGATACGCGCGTACTGCCAAAGAATGAAATTCCTTGAAACATTTGCTCCCAGTTTTGGGCTTCGGTTTATTTCATTACTCGTTCGTGTTCCTCGTTTGGAACGTGGTTTTAGAATTTTCCAAATTCCACCGCGTGGAAAATTTCCGGAAATTTTCTGCGAGTTTTGTGGAGGACCTACAGCTGGCAGTTTAAAGAGGAAAGCCTACGCGGAATTGGCGTCATTTCTCTGTTTCCCGACGGCTACGTTTCGCTTTATCGTGTGACGAATAACAGTGTCTCTAGTTCCTGATCACATCCAGGAATTCTTTAAATCGATAGTGTCCTATGTTGAACGTTTTTCTCGCTTGTTTATCAAGTCGAATTGTCTTTTCTAATTTCACCACCTTGACTGTCTTTGCTATTGCTATATTAATTATATTAACCAGATTAAACGTAGGCATATATATATATA